TTAGCTCTTTGGTAATTATGATCCTATTTGGAATAAACCTAGTGGTAGTGCTACTTATTTATAGAAATTCATTTGTGAAACTTCTAGAAAATAAATTCTTGGATTATTTAACATGTTATTGACAATATCAACCTTCCATTCTTTTATAACGACTACCTATAAGGAAAAACTTGAATTATATTGCAACTTTTAACTATGATGTTTTTTTTAATCAACAAGTTTACTAGAAAATGGTGTTTCTCTATATACTCTAACCATATTCATCAAAGTTGGTTACATTTATTATTAAGATTTGTTTTACCCTAGTGGCCCTCTTAGAACCTGGCTAGGGAAGTAACCTTCCCTTACGAACTCTAAGCTTTTTTATAATGATTATGAGACTAGTTGGATGAAATAAACTTGTTTAAAAGGTAGATATTCTATGTTTTCTTGAAAAAAATCCTAATTAATGGGCTGTAAACATAGGACATTATGCATTAAGAGGAACTCTTTTGAACAAAAATTACTTTTTTTTTCTAAAGAAATATTGAATCTTTGTCTAATTTATTCTTTGAATATCTATATTCATTCCAAAATCTTGAATGTTTTGTGTTCGATGGGATTTTTTCATTTGGGATGTGCCTATATTCAAGACCTTCAACATGCTGAGGATTTCTAATGTAGCATTACCTCTTGGTTAATTTTACTTGCTACACATATTACATTACACTATCTTGGGATTGAGAGAAATGGTTTTTTTTTTTTTTTTTTTTTGAGACAATCATAATCCTTTTGAGCTACTAATCTCAAGAATACACCTTTTCATTCACTTAAAATGTCAATTGTGGAACAATATCCTTAACTTGCCCACTATTAGTAAGACTTATACTTTTCCTAAATCCATTTTTGTATTTTTAATTATTTTCTCTTATTATGAAGTGTTATTATTTATGGAATAATGTTGTTGTGGCACCTTGTTGGTTCTAGTTTCTTGGCTGTTATTATTTACTGCAGAACTATTTATCAAGCTTGGGCCATTTTGATCCTATGGTTCTTATAAATGCTTAATATTCTTATTAATTATTTCTTATTGATTGATGAATCTGAGTTAATTGAATGATAACATATGATATTTTTTGGGAGACAATCTATATACTAAACCACTTCTTTCTATATATAATATTGATATTCTACTTCTTTTTAGTCAAATTTTTATTTAATGAGCTATGATAGCATCATAGTATGGAAAATTTTTTATTGGTTCAACATTTATGTCTTTTATATGCAAATCATGTATCGCATATAGCTTCGGTGACATCATTTATATAATTTTGCTACATATTTTTGTTATCTTACATCAAATGTTTTTTTTTATCTTATAGACATAACATTTTTTCTTTCTTTTATTGCTATTTATCATCTTATTAGAAAATATTTTTACCTTCATGTATATCATAATGTAATATCTTATTAATGAAGTTAGGCATTAACACATCCCCAAAGATCGCCTTGATAGGACATGAATCTCAAGGCATATCAAAGTTGTAAACTTCCAAAATTAAATTTGGGACCATCCAAACTTTGACTTTGGTAAACGTATAGTCAAATGAAAAGTATCAAAGAGACAAACCCAATAATAGAAAAATCAGTCCAATACTAGCCCTAGTAGGTCTGAATTAAGAGTCCAGAGCGTATTTAAAAGGTTGAAAGCATTAATTGGATGACAACATAAAGACTAAATAATGCATGCTTATAGTCGAATCAAGTGGCTTGACGATATGAATCCAGCTAGTGCAAGATAGCTGAATTACAACATCATTAAGTTACTTAAACTTTTAAAAAATGATTTATGATCGAGAGAATCAATACAAGCCATTAGGAGCACTCTGAACCTACCCTAGAACTTCTCTATATTTATGAGTTGTGTCACTCATAAAAATCTATAAATAGACCCCCACTCTCTATGAGAAGGGGGACCTTTAGTTGGATATTGGATATGTCTCTAAGGCTTTACAAGCTCCAAAACCACTGCTAACAAACCTCCATCAATCATCGTTGGACCACCGCTTGGCCGCCAATAGACTTCCACTCATGCCCGCCGACCACTGTAAAACTTCCATTCGAGCACCGACCATTGTCTGACTTCCACCTCACCATCATCGAAGCACCACCCGATCATCGATCACCACCAAACAACCACCCAACCTTCAACCTCCACTGGACATCTTCCTGACCTTCGATGAACCACCACCTAGCTGTTGATTGTCATTGAACTATCTCCTATCCACTAATTATTATTGGGCTTCCCACATACTGTCAACCACCCTGAAATATTCACTCAAACATCAATGGACTACAGCCCAGCCACAAACCTCCACAACATGCTAACTATGATCCCTTAGACCACTGTTTCACGCCAATTATGGTCCCTTAGATGACCATTGCCTATCGAGTATAATCCCTCCGACCATTATGGCCTGCCAACTACGGTCCCTTTGACCACCTTCACCAGCTGACTATGGTCCCTATGACCACCATTGCTAGCAAACTACGGTCCCACTAAACATCATCGCCTGCTCACTACGGTCCCTCTGACCAACATTACCTCTGACCATATGACCCCAGCCACCTGCCGACAATAATCCCTCATACCAATATTGCATGCGGATTATGGTCCTTTCGACCACTGACTACAGTCCTTCTAGTAACCATCACGCCCGACTAAGGTCCCTCCAACCAATATAGCATGCCAACTATAACCCCTTTAACTCCCGACTATGTTCCCTCCGACCTCCCATCGCCTACTAATAACGATCCCTCAAACCACCCTCATAAAACTACAGCCCTATTGAACAATCAAACATGTCTACCCTTTTTAAGAACATCTACCATGTAACAAGAAATATATATTATGTATTTGTTATATTAAACTAGCACCCTCTTTTGAGGAGGGTTATTATTTGAAATCAACAATCTGTACGAGTGGATTCATTCAAACTAGGTAAGGCCTCGTAGTTTTTTCCCCTTATTAGGGGTTTCCATATAAAAAATTTCTTGTGTCACTTATGAATGCTACACCACTATCTTTCATCTGCTTATATGTTATATTTTCAAATAAAGCTACGATGTTGGACTCTATATCTCTCTACTGTCGTGAATTTTCTAGAATACAATAGTTTTGCACCCCATAAATAGGAAATGACTGAAGTATAGTAGTCCCCATATAATGATCTATTATCATATTCAAAAGAAGTCCTAAGGGAAACACTAAAGAAAAAAAAATATGCATTATCGTCTGTCGTCTATCAGCCAATACCACATCAATTATGTGGGGAACAATTCTTGGCTAAGTTGCAACTTTTCTCCAACCTTGAAAGATCATTCACATCAATGTCCTAGGCCCGATTGAAGCAATGTAATCCCTTTACCATGCCCTATTATCAGGTCCAAAGGTTATATTAAAAGTACTTTCATCAAAACATCAAGCAGATAATGCTCAATCACATTTTAACCATTAGCCATCGGGGCATCAATTCTATGGGAAGTAGATTTAGATTGGGGGGGGGGGGGGACCCGGGGGGGGGGGAACCCTGGTTATAATTTTGGTGATAATTAAGGAAGTCCTTCAAAAAGTTTACTTGTCCAAATATAATCTTGCCAGCAACCATCTATCATAAAGCTTCCCAAAAATACATGAAGGCTTCAAGTGAATGCTAAACTATATACAGTCCCTAATTAGACTTCTAATCCTTGGGAAAGATCATAGTCTCAACCTCAAAAAGATAGTAACGGTCTAAAGATTGAACATTCTTCACATTTGATTTAGGAAACATGTGGTGTTCTCCCCTCCCAATCAAGGCATAATTGATCCCAAATGGATTTGATTCGAACTCTTCCATACAAGTTAATATCCTCGAGCAACGCTCTAATAAATAATCTCAGATAAGTCAAACATCCTTGGTGGATTCTCTTGACCTCTTCCATACAAGTTAATGCCAACAAACAATATTTTGATGAACATCCTTGGATATGCCAAACATCCTTAATAGATTTCTCTCAACCTCTTCCACACAGGTTAACGTCATCAAGCAATGCTTTGGCAAATAAATATGCATCAATTTAATTATTTCTATTCTAATATATATATTTGAATTTTTTACTTTTTTTATATTTTAAAAAAGGAAATAATCTAAATTTATTAAAAAAAATATTTTTGCTGTTCCTCCACAAAGGAGGTGGCACTATAGCAGCCTACAATGCAAGAGGCGTGAAGGCCCAAAAAATAAAAAGAAAAAAATAATAATAATTTTTCGACCAAAAAGGTCTGATTCGACCACCGTCACACACAGACTATTGTCCCTCCGAACACCGTCGCCCGCCGACTATAGTCCCTACTACCACCATCACTCACCGACTACGATCCCTCTGAGCTTCATAACCTGGCGACTATGGTCTCTTCGACCAACTTCGCACGTCGACCCAGCAACCTCCGCTACCTTTTGATTGTGCTCCCTCAGACCACTGGTTCCTGCTGACTAGTCCATCCGATCACCGCTGCCCCTCAACTACCCTCCGACCAACGTCGCTTGCTGACTATGATCCCTTCGATCAACTTCGCCTGCCGACTACAGTCCCTCCAACTACCGTTGCCCGACTACAATCATCCTAACCAAACAAACATGTCAACATTCTTTTAAGAACAACCACTGTGTAACGAGCTATATACAATATGTTTTTGCTACATTAAGACAACACCCTCTTCTGGGGAGGGATATTATTTGTAATCAATCATCATTATTAGTGGATTCATTCAAATTGGGCAAAATCTTGTGCTTTTTTAACCTTCAGAGGTTTCCACGTAAAAACTCTGATATCTCTTATTAATGCTACACCCATATCTTTTATTTACTTGTTTGTTAGATCTTCATACAAAATTATAATATTATACTTTATATCTCTTTACCACCATGAATATATATATATATATATATATATATATATATATATATATGGGGCGACAATACTAATTGGCCTTATGAATAGTAGCAAAAAAAAAAACGGAAATCATGGAGTCGAAGTGCCATCTTCGGTCGCTTCTCAAGTATTCAATGGCGTTCATCCTAGCGGCATGGGCCTTTGTTTGGATTCTGAAGCCGACCCAGTTGTGGAAGAGATCATGGCATGCAGCTGAGGATTGGGCTAGGCCAACTTTCCTCGGAGAAATTGGTATTTTTTTCTTGTTTGTAATGTTGAATGCAAGGCGCTTGAATTGTCTTTTAAGGCTTTAAATATTAATAGAAGCTTGAACATATCGAAGATCAAAAGTTTCTAAAATCTGCTTTATAGTTGGCTCAAATTAAGCGCATTGAAATCAATGAGCGACAAATAAACTAAGGTCAACTTAAATCAAGTTTGAATCTAACAAAGCTAGCTCGTGAGGGGTTTGGTAATAGAAATAAGTAGCATTTAAATGATTAATTCTATTTAAAACTAATTTGCTAGATATAAAATCTAAATTATATCTCTAATATAAAAAATAAAAGAACATATTTATAATTTTTTAAGATTGATCAGTAATAAAAATTTAACCATCTCCGTAACTATTCAGTCACAAATCTTTTTATAAAATATCTATAGTTATCAATAAATTAAATTCTGTAATATGGTTTTAGATTTTTAACTTTAAGTTATCATGCAAATTGTAAAATTGTCATTTAAATGCATTCAATAATCATGAAATGAGGATTATTAAAATAAATTGAATATATATAATATTTTGGGGAGGGGGTGGGGGGAATAAAAGTTTGAATTAGAATGCTGAAATTCGATACTAAATTGTATGAGTTTCTGAAAAAAAAAATAGTTTCAAATTTTTTGAGCAAGCCTAATTAAAATCTAGAACTTCTAACTGAAGCTTACACTTGGGTTGCTTGAGTTGGGTCAAATGGCTTTGAGTTCATCTTAAGCTGCAGGGATGAACACTTGATCTGGTTGTTCGACCATAATAATTCTGAATCTTCTGATCATTTGCTTTCAGGTCTCAATGTTGTTGTCTTCTGCTTTCCGGTTCTAGCAGCAGCTGCACTTGCTTATGCCTACCTTTCTATCAGTTCAAGTGAAGAAAGGTTAAGGTTTTAATGAACTGTTTTTGGTAAGACCATAGCAAGATTTTGTCAAATAATCTGGTGATTTATTTGGATTTCACGTTTGCAGAGTGAAAAGAGCTCACTTGATGACAAACTTCTTTCAACCAGTCATCACAAGTAGTAATTTTGGTATATTGTCGCTTGGCGAGCTATTTTCTATGGTTTTCTTTATTATTTTCCTAGTGTGGACATATTACTCCAATGTTTCTAGTGACTATAAGAAGATGACACCTTCAAAGATATTGAAACTAAACAGGTAGGGAAGATGTGATAATAATATATAATTTTATAGGTTACTATTATCTTTTCATTGATAGTGGTATGTTAAATCTATTTGATTCAGGAAGCAGATTAAGTTGTTGTCTTTAGGTGTTAAATTTGGTTCATTGAGTGAAGCCTGCCTTGCACTGCTGCTGCTACCAATTTTGAGGAGAATGGCATTGCTCAAGATAATGGGAATTCAGTTTGAAGCTTCTGTTAGGTACCACATGTGGATTGCTAATGGCATGATGCTTTTTTCTCTCTTGCATGGGGCTATCATAATGGCCGTATGGAGTGAAAAAAGATGACTTTTAGAAGAGGTACCTATCATATTTATTCAACATGCTATTGAGCAATATACTTGATGATGTAATGTCATATTCTGTTAGCATAAATCTAAAGTTTTGCTATCAATGTCGTCATGATACCATTCCTTATGTATAAATCTCTTAAAGAAAATATCAAGTGAAATGTTAAAATAGTTAGCTCGTCAAATTTCAAAAATTCAATGAGAAATGAAGTGTAACTTCCTAAGAAGAAAGTTGGGAAATGGAAATTGTTTTATTATTATTTTAATGTGGGATGATTATGGGCCAAAGATTTGATAATAAATCTGCATTAAGATCCAGAAAAATACTAAAAACACACAAATTTCATATATTATGTACTCATAATTTTAACAACTCTTCATTTGAAAAATGTGGGCTCCGAAAATTAGTGCCACAACCTCCCGTCTTTCAGGAGAGTTTTAATGAATTAAGTTTCGAGGTAAATCTAGATGGAAGATTGGGTTTAAAATATGACATTACCCATGGATGCAACAAGGATTTGGGTATTTGAAAATTTGATATTTAAAATTAGAAATGCACCACATTGCACTTAAGGCGGATGGTGGGGGAAATGATGATGAACTCGATCATGATCTCATGGTTCCGTCTTCCCAGCTCATTAAGGTCTCTGGTCTACTTAGTTAGAAGAGGTAGTTGACCCAACCTAACAAAAGGATCCTTGTAAGCATCCATGGGTTGCTTCGTCCAAGGGTACCTTGTAGATCTGGGATGAGTATTTGTCTAAAGGGACAAATTTGAATTCACCTTAGCTAATAGAGGGCTTTGTGCCCTATTGATTATATCATATTTATTCATATCTAAAAGATTTGGTGTCATTAAGGAACATATGGGATATAAATGTAATCATAATACAGTGGAGTCGTTGGACCAAGCTACTAGGTTAGAGGGTCATGGTCGTAATCGTTAACCACGCAAATCCATCTTGCCAAACCACTGGTTATTTATGTCTCTTTTAGGCCAAACCGCCGATCAAAGGACCAATACCACATCCTTACTTGCAAGAGGCTGTTTGAGAATGAATCCTAGTGATATTCTCGATTAGACATTAGCTCTTTGTTTGCTGAGGTGATATTTAAATTATCCACCTAGGAAAACTATTGCGGAGGGTGGATGGGTTTTGCTTTAAGCATTTCAGGGATTTATTTCAAATTTAAATATTTTAAATTTTGATATTTTTGGAATTTTGAATTCTTTTATGGGCATTTGGGAATCATTTTAAAAATTTCTAGTCCCTTTTGGTTAAGATTTTCTATCAACACATCCATTATTAGGGTGATTTTGAGGTCATTTGCAAATATTTTTATTTTGCTGAAGTTTGGGGGCATTTAAAAACATATGATCCCCTTCGGTTTAGATAAACATTCAATATGGTCATCATCAGACTTGACATTGACTTTATGATTTTATTAGTATATTTTTAATTTTTATAGGCCTTGAGAGCCTAATATGAACCTATTAAAATAAATATCTCGGTCGACATCGTGATCATAAATTTATTTGATAGTTCAAGTTGTGTCGACTCTTATCTACTCGCATAAAGGGATAAGGCATGAATTTGGATTTATCATTCGACCCATGCAGCATTCTTGGATGTCACATGTATACCCATAACATGCTCGTTAGGGCCCATGCTGGTATTTAAGGGGTATATTTTTTAATTTTATCTATTTGACCTTGTCGACTCTGTCTGATTGTTAACAAAAGACCGGGTTCATTGCTGGCTTTAGATTTTTATCAATGAATATTTTTTTGTTGATGACCTTGAAGACCTACTATGAATGTATGAAATAAATATATCGGTCGATGTTCTGATCGTATATTTGTTTGATAGTTCGGGCCGGGTCGACTCCCATCTACCCGTATAGAAAGATCTAGCTCAAACATAAATATATTATTTATTGTCCTATGCAGCATCCTCAAATGTCACGTGTGTGCGTACAACACGCTCGCCGGGGCCCATGTGGGTCTATGCTTGCATATACATTTATTTTTCTTATATTTGTATAATTGCATGTACATTGATACTTTCATTTGTATATTGATGTGCTTGCATGTGCACTTATGTATTTTTGTGTATACATGTTGCAGTGTATGTGTGAGGCATTTTGAAGAATTTGGCGCTAATCAGTTGTACGAATGATCAACATTTGGGAATGCATATCGCTCTATGTAGAAGCTCATAAACACCTTTTGTTCGCTTGTATACAGGTTGCGGATCCGGTGGCGTAGTATAGCAGCTTATGAATGCCTTTTATTCGCTTATAGGAATGTTGTGTATCCGATTACGTGGCTTAGTATCTTATGAACCCCTTATGTCTGCTTATATGAATGTTACAAATCTGGTGGCGTAACGTAGCAGCTTGTGGATGCCTTCAATTCACTTATTCCAATATTGCAAATTTGGTGGCGTGGCATCACACTACAGGTTACTCGTTACTTTATACAAGTAGACTGTAGTGCACTTACTAATCTCCTACTATTAATTGTTGATAACTACATTCAAAACAAGCTTGTTGCCTCTTTCTATAAGCAGGTTGCTTTGCTTGCAAACCTTCTAATGTTGCCTGTAGGTTTTTGTATTTATTGCATGTCATCTGACGTTTTCTTGTAAATGACATGTAGTGTATGTGAAAATTCTCCTACAACAGTCTGTAGGAGCTAGCATTTTACTATATGTCATATGTATTCACTTGCGAGAGGATGATGTATTTACTTGATGTTGAATGACGTTTAATTGCAAGGGTGTTGTATCATTCACTACTTATTGTCGATCATCACCCGCAAGTGCATCATTATGCATACAACACATCTCCCATCTCCATTAGCAGTCGTTGAAATTTATCATATGTTGCGCCGTACATTTATGTATGAGGCTTTGTTTCTAGTAAACAAGCTAATATATTCATCTATGTACTGATGTAGGTGGTCAGATAAGATGCATTTGTTGTCAACTTCTCCCACCATGTAAACTACTATCGTTTGTAGGAAACTATTGTATTTATTGCATATCAAATTCCTCTACTTATAGTGGATCGATATATTTGCTTGCCACTAAGTTATTATAGATTGCATGAATGTCCTAGTGCTTGTTGCATGCTTCTGTATATGCCTTCATGGAACATCATTAATTGTAGGCAGGTTCATTGTGTTCATCTACTTATATGTTAATCCTGATCGCATGGAGTTGTGTGAATGAGAAGTCTCCTTTTTTTTATTACCATAAGTGTATGTCTTCTTTGTAACTAGCTGAATATCACTTGTGAGTGAGCTGTATTCATCATAATCTTCTAGCTTGTGCTTGTAGGATGGAAGCCATCACTGTTGTCTACATGTGAATCAGCATATTTGACTACAAGATACTTGGCATTGATGGAAAAAAAGTCATCTTCTCCATGACCCCCTCCCTCGGTGTGTTGATGTGTCGCATTCCTTGTATGTTGCGCATTATCGTTTGAAGAGTTTAACATGCCTGCTTATATTGCTAGTTGGGATTTTTCTTGCAATTGTTTGAATATTGTAGGTTAATTAATCTTCAATGTCATTTACAGTCATCCATGAACATTCATAAACTTCCTGTAGTTGCTTGTAAATGAACCATTGTGTGTGTAGTAGGTTCATGTTCTTACTTACAAACGCATTATCTTGTTCACTATAAGTCTTCAGCATATGCTTGTATGTGAATGGTCATGATCATTGCAAGTTCCTTGTAGTCACTTATAAGCAGATTATTTTGCACATTACAAGTCCTTTGCTCGTGAGCGAGCCATCATGTTTAATACAAGCCCCTTATTCATTGATTTTTATTTTAATATTAAGGCCATTAATTAGCATTTGCACTTTAATTTTAGTGTGTTTTTTTTATTTAATGTTTGATTCCTTCTATGAGTTTAAATTCAAGTTAAGTTCATCGTCATTTATTCAATGTTAAGTCTCTTATCATTATCCAAATTTAGGTCCTCGGTTACTCAAAAATTTCAGCTGCCTCCCGGCGTCTCCCCTATTTAAGGGAAATTCCAAGAGTTGGGATTTCCCCTCCACACTATGAGAGCGCTTCATGTAGGTGTCAGACGATACTGTGGCCATGATCTTCAATCCCGCCATGCTACGAGAGCGCTTAGAGTTCTTTGAGGTACCTGCTTAAAAAATGCCAAAATTTTCTTTTCCCGCCGGCATTGATGTACGCATGAATACTTAATTTTTTCCTCGCTATGCTACGAAAGAGCTTAGAGTTCTACCTACATCACCGCAAGCATCACACTGGGTTCCCTACCACCGTGCTATGAGAGCTCGTACGATGGTCGGCCGGCGCGCTGCGATTGTTAAATGTGATATTTTGAGTTATGAATGTTATACCTACGCAAGTGACATTCGACGGTGAAATTATGCACAAAACTCTCCCTCTTTTTTTCTTTTTCTTCTTCCTTTGTTTTTGCATTTTTTTTCTTTTCCTTCCTTTTTTTATAATAATAATAATAATTATTAAAATTATTATTATTATTATTACAATTATTATAATAATTAACAATAATTATGATAATAATGAAATACAAACAAAAACATAGAATAGGAATTACCAAAAAGGGTTTTAAACTTCACGGATCATTTTTGCTGAGTCGAGTATGAGAGGGATTTAGGCCGCACTTTGTGGAAAAATTATTAGGTGCGGAGTTCGGATGTAGAGATATATTTGGACTCCAATAAAATGTTGACACATAGAGCGTACACGTGGATATTCAACTAGATTTATTTTTTTACTTTATATATTTAATGTGTTCACGGAACTTTAAGCCAAGAGCACCAAAAATACATCCAAAGTGCAGGTAAAGCACAGTAAAAAAGCTCAACAAAAAAACTATCAAAGCGTATAAAGTACAACTAAAGCGCAAGCAAAGCACAAGTAAAACATATAAAAAAGTGCAACCAAAGTACACTCCACGTTTTAAATTTTAAGTGTATGTTCGGACTTATCT